GCGCTTGGTATATGGACAGGGAGAACACATGTCATAAACCTAAACGTTCGGAGCTCGGAGCGGAGTTCATTAACCTGCGCTGGGCCCCCTCCCCAGCGCCGCGGAGCGCGCCACGGATGGCGCAAGAGGCGCCGGCAAGGGGGGACAGCGCCGATCCGAGAAATCCGAGCGGAACTCCACAAGCTGGTGTTTATGAAGATGGTTACACCCGTGCTTTGAGTTAAGAAAATCTACTGGGCTCAGAAAATGGACTTCAATACGAGCGTTTTCTCAAGCAGTGAGTAGACCATACAAACATTCTACGAAGAAGAGCAGCTCCCAGAAAACTCCCAGGATCCAGTCCAAATTCTTCATTCTCTTAAAAGAGGTCTGGAGTCCGCGAAGGTTGATACTTTTCATGAAGATGCCTGATGGGTGCATTCTTCAAGTGAACAGGTGGAGACATCCGAACCCCACCCCCACCGACCATCGACTCCCCTGAAGCGGTGGGAGGTGGGTGTAGGGCTCGGACTTCGCAACAGGCGCGAAAAAGCACAAGCCCTACCCCCCCGTCGCCCATCGCCTTGCCTGAACCGTGAATCGGCGAGGGTAGTTCGGAGTTCGCTACCAATCATTCTCCGAGTAGAGCCATGGGGCCCCAGACGGCGATACGGTCGGACCTAGGCCCAGAAGAGCATCCCTCAAGAGCATGAGGCCCTCCGCGGGGCAAGACACACAGAACAGCCCAAGGTACCCTCCCCAGGATGCACAGAAACATCCAACAGACACGGAGTACACTAGGGGACCCTCCCCGAACCGACCTCGACCTCATACCTCGGTCCGACCGCGTTCTGCGGGTAGAACCATGGCGCCCAAGACTGCGCTACGACGCCCAAAGGCCCTCCGCGAGCTCCGTCTTCGGGTGGCCTTGTTGCTCTCTTCGAAGAAAAAGGAGGCGTAAAACGCCCTCTTTCGGCAGCCCTCGCTGCCCCCCCGATTTATCGCCCCCCCATTACGCGTCCTCCGATGGCCTGCGCCGAAGGCTGCTCCAGGCTCTGCGGGAAGCCCACGGGCCCGAGACAGACAGAGAGGTTACCAAAAAGTTGCCCCTGCTTGTAAGTTGCCCTGTTGGGCCTCTTCTGAGGACTGCTCCAGGCCCAGAAGACGCGAAAGCACCGACTATAGGCCCAGGACCGTCCTGGCCAAGATCGGTGTAGGTGTACAGCGGGTGCCCTCAGACTCCAAGCTCAGGAAGAAGTGAGCAGGTCATCCCTTGACGACCCGAGCGAGACCCTGCGAAGCCAGGGAGGGTGTGGGGTGGGGGGCTGCGAGCACCTCCTCCGCAGGGAAGGGCATGCGCAGCCTCCTCCGCCTCCTCCTCCTCCTCCTCCTCCTCCTCCTCCTCCTCCTCCTCCGCCTCCACCTCCTCCTCCTCCCTGGCCGGCTGCAGCAAGGAGCACTCTTCTCTCCTCCCCACAAACTGGGAAGCAGGCACTCGTCGTGTACCGTACCTCGTGGATGTGGCCCGAAGGCCCCCCCTCGCCTGTCTGGGCCTCGTGGGGCCAGCTCACAGCCGCCTCGGGGCCCGCCGGAGCTGCCTCGGAACCACCCTCAGCCAGACACGCTTTGGCCCGCCACCGCGCCCGCAAACCGGTCAAGCCCTGGGCCAAGAGATCCCGTCGCGGCTGCAGAACCTCCTCCCCTCTTGATCTCTCCGACTGAGGACATGACGGACAGGGAAGAGGCCACGCCAGAGGACCCCCGGAGACTCCAGGGCCCAGTACGAGGCACAGGAAATCGACGCATGGAGACCTTCCGAGTGAAGCGGGCCTGTGACCCAGAGATCCGACGTCGTGATGTTTTCAACACGAGGTCACCGAAGTCTCGATCCATTCCCCAGGACAGGTTTTTCGTCCCGAGTCGTTTCTTGACGGTCCCTGGGCCTGGCGAGGGCCCCTCGAGGCCGAAAGTTGAGAGAAACCTCTGTCTAACTTGTTGTGGAAGGGCTCGAAGCGTCGACCGAGCTGCCTGGTCGGCTGATGGACTCGGCGCATAGACGCCCCAGCCTCCCAGCCCGTGAGATGCTGGAGCGCCTACTACACGTCATTCATGTCTAAGTGTGCTCATTTATCACTGTGCTCGTTTCTAACTCCTCCTGGCCCCCTCGTGGCCAGGAAGAGGCCCAGGATACAACAATCAGAAACGACAGGATCTTGGCCCCCCCAAAACATCCAAGCACTCTCGAAAAATTAGAAGTGAGCACGGTGTACACATCGGGCGCCCTCCGAGGACCGCACCCGCGCCCCAAGAACTCCGCGGGACCCTCCGGGACGCCCGCGGAGAAGCCCGGGGCGCGCGCTGCGGGCAGGCAGGAGCCCAAGCGAGAGGGCAGGACGGGCGCGGGCCGAGCCCGCGCCTGCATGGCTTGAAGCGGGGGGGCAGGAGGGAGGGGGCAGGAGGGAGGAGGCCGGGAGGAGGAGGAGGAGGAGGAGGAGGAGGAGGAGGAGCAGGAGCAGGAGGAGGAGGAGGGAGGAGGGAGGAGGAGAGGAGGAGGAGGAGGAGGAGGAGGAGGAGGAGGAGGAGGAGGGCGGAGAGGAGGAGGAGGAGGAGGAGGGGAGGAGGAGGGAGGAAGAGAAAGAGGAGAGGAGGGAGGAGGAGGAGGAGGAGGAGGAGGAGGAGGAGGAAGGAGAGAGGGAGGCAGCAGGAGGCAGCGAGAAGGACGGGGAAGAAGCACAGAATGCAGGATGGAGGTAGGGGGAATGGGGGGAGGAGGAGGAGGAGGAGGAGGAGGAGGAGGAGGAGGAGGAGGAGGAGGAGGAGGAAGAGGAGGAGGAGGAGGGGAGGGAGGTAGGATGGAAGAGGGGGGAGGAGAGAGCTGGATGAGGGGGGGGAGGAGGCAAGCGAAGGAGCGGGCGGCGGGTGGCCGTCCGGGGTGCATCCAGGGAAGACGCCCAGGGCAAAGGCCGATCCCGTACCTGTCACCCGCTTCCGCTCTTCATGCTCGCCGTGCTCTCGCTGCGTGTCCGTCTCCCTCTGCTCCTTCCACAGCAAACACGCACGAGAAGAGATCTTGTGAACTGCGACCTGCGAGCTACGACCTGCGAGGAAAGAGATCTCGCGATAAGGAAGACTGGGGCACTCTCTTCGTCGACCTTTGAGGGCCATGAGGTGCCCCGGAGCTTCTGTGGGGCCCTGGGGCCATCGGGGGACAAGGAACTTCGGTGGGGCATCTGCTTGCAGGCTGGTCTCTTCTTTGGCGTGCCAACTGTCCGGCGATAAGCGGTCAGAGATGTGTGGTGACGGTCTTGGCTGCGTGAGCAACCACTCGTATGTTGGGCATGCCCTCCTACGGGCGGATCTTGTTTAAAGAAATAGGAGTTAGTCAAAACATGCCCAAACCTTACCAAACGTATTCCAAGCATCGTCCCCACATGATGTTTTGACTATTGATGCCCCCGGCTTAAAACTACTCCCTGCTATCTTTCGCGGATCCTGGACACCCTGGCCCTCAGGGCTGCTGACCGCTCACGGCACTCCGGCAGCGCGACAGCGCCCCGGGAGCGACGTCTGGCCAGCTCCAGAGCCCCTGAGGACGCCAGCATGAGGAGGAGGACGAGGAAGAGGAAGAGGAGGAGGAGGAGGAGGAGGAAGAGGAAGAGGAGGAAGAAGAGGAGGAGGAGGAAGAGGAGGAGGAAGAGGAGCACGAGGAGGAGGAAGAGGAAGAGGAAGAGGAGGAGGAGGAGGAGGAGGAGGAAGAGGAAGAGGAGGAGGAGGATGGACCTCTCGCTTGGGGGTCCGCCTGTTACTTCCGCCGGCCGCCTCCGACCAACCTTCACGGGGCACGCGCTGGCAGAGCTCCTTCCTTCTGCTTCCGCCTGCTTCCCAGGGGCCCTCCGCCAAGGACGAGAGACAACCCTTCGATTCATCGATGCTGGAACCCTCTCTGGAATGCCTCGTGTGTCATGACTGGCCCGAAGCGTCCGTAACTGTAGACGACAGTGTCATCGTATCCCGTCCGGCAGGGAATCTAGATGGTCAAAGCCCCACACGCTCGACCCCTATCCTCCCTCCGTCGCCTCTCCTCCCCTGCCCTCATCCCTCACTTCTCCTCACTTCGCATCGCGGGATGATGCGACGAGAGAACACCATACCTCTCATTCCCCTGACCTTCTGACTTTCTGCGCCTCAGCGGCCACACTAACGGCCTGGCGCAAACCTACTGGGCGGCAACCAGTGCCATCCTATTCCCACAGCCAGCCCATGCGGTGCCCGGCACTCGCCTCGGCAATGCCCTCGCCCCCATCCCATACTCCAGCCCATCCCTAAGCCTTGAGATCCGGCGACTTCAAGAAACAAGAACGTAACGTCGTGGAACAAACACTGCCGGAGATCCCAACCCCATCTTGATGCGGGAGGTCTCGAGCCTGATCGATCCATGATGGTCCCTGGTTCCGAAACAGGGCCAAACTGCATGTCGTGTTCGTCTCTATCACGCCGCTCGGATCTGAGGCATTGCCCACGCCCCTGTTGCCGACGAATTTGGCTTGCAGAAGCTCAATCAAACTGGGAGGGCCCAGAACGGGTCGGCAAACCCTCATGCCGCCGCCGAGCTCACGTAGGGGCAGCCTAGTGCGCCTCCTTTCCTCCTCGAAAAATGAAGGGGTGGGCTCAGAGCGGGTCGGCGAAACCTCATGCCGCCGCCGAGCCCACGTAGAGGCAGCCTAGTGCGCCTCTTTGCCTCCTCGGAGGCGCGTGCGAATTCCACCGTAGGACAGAAAGTCGGCATCGGCACCAAGAACTGCAAACATCCCTGAGTGAAAACATGATTGCGTGAGCCCTGAGATCTTGGTGCTGAAGCCCCGATCCGCACTAGAGACGTCGTGATCCACGACGCTATCCCGGAGAGTGAAGGCTCTTGGGAAGATGAGCAGGAGGCAGGTGAACACTTCGAAGGAAGTGTTGCGATCGCTGAGGCGAGGGAGTATTGTGAACTCGGCATTGCAGCATGCACACGCTCGAACTCAATACAGCCACAATCGGCATTGACGCTTGGAGACTGCGCGGACAGGAGCCACGGCCCCAATTAGCGCCGTCGTCAACAAATCGTCGTCTGCTGTCTGATCCGTGCCCAGGGGATTCGCAAGAGGAGCAAGACTCGATGGGCTTCGCAGAGCACAGGTCCTGCTTGGCTGGAACCACTCTTCCCAGGACATCGCTCGTTCCGTGGGGCACTCGTCAGTGGTGGAGGCCTCGACGTCGAAAGAATCTGGTAGGCGCTCAGGGCGATCGAACGGCTTGCCGTACTCGTCCTGCGCGGCGGCCCGATTCTGGCTCCTCTGGAAACGGGGCTCGTTGAGCCTGCAGGCATTCTCGTAATACGTCGGCCTTCGCGGCGCCCTCTTGAGCGCCTCGCAACTCGCGCTGGACCCCGTGTCCCCCAGAGCCGTCGCGCCGCCTGGGCACTCCGCGCTTCCTCCGCGAGGCCGTGCAGCAAGAAGCGCACGCTTGCCCGCTCGACCATGCTCTCTGCCAAGAAGCCTCTCGAGCTCAGCGACGCGCTCGCTCTGGTCGCGCAGTCTCTGCTCCAGGCCCTGGATGTAGCGCTTGAGCTCCACGATGCTTGCGTCCCTGGCCGCGACGACTCTGTCCTTCGACTCGATGAGCCGCTCCACGGCCTCTACGCGAGGCGGGGATTTCCAGAAAGACAATCATCGGGTTGGGAGGATGGGGTTGGGAGGATCTGTGGCACAACTGTGTAATAAACACGCTCGACGTACGCGATAATACGAACGAGCTGATATCATCTTTCCGAACCCCATCCTCCCAACCCGATAACCGTCTTTCCGAAATCTATACATCAACACCGCCTGAAAAATCGACCTTCGGCAACCCGGTGGATGTCGAACGGCTTGGCCACCCCAGGGCCCGAGACAATCCCTGTCCACCGCCTGCCGAAGCCTCAAAAGACCGATCCCTCGGGCCGTGGTGATGTTTGGAGGCAACTACTGAGAGGTCTTCGTCGGACGGACTTGAAGAACATTGAGGCCCATTGGGGGACTGCCACACCGGGTTAGGTCGTGGATTAAGCGGGAGCAAACCGAACAAACTGGAGTGTAAGCCCGATGAAGCGGGATACAAGCCGGACTCGGCCAGCTTTCGGACCAGGAGCCGACTTGGGCGCGAAAGAATCGGCGGGGGCGCTCAAGGGGGGAAGAGATGCGCCCTCTTCGGGCCCTGAAAAGGTCCCCCCCTCTGGGCCCTGAAGGGCCCATTTATCGGGGATGGACAGACCCCTCTTTAGTAAAACGTGGTTTAGTGAAAACGACCTCAGGCTCAAACCTGGCGGGCGCAAACCTGGAAAATAACGGCCACGGCACCATCTCGAGAATCGAAAACGGACAATTCACTAATCGACGTGTCACTGTTGGGGGTCCAGTCCACCCCCGAATGTAGGGGCCCCAAAGGACGATTTTTGGCAGCCCTCGCTGCCCCCTCATTTAATCATCGCCCCCCCATGACGCGCCTGCGCGGTTTCCCCCGGGGCCGCAGGAGACCCGAGGAGGAGGAGGGGGAGGAGGAGGAGGAGGAGGAGGAGGAGGAGGAGGAGGAGGAGGAGGAGGAGGAGGAGGTGGAAGGAGGAGGAGGAGGAGGGAGGAGGAGGAGGAGGAGGAGGAGGAGGAGGAGGAGGAGGAGGAGGAGGAGGAGGAGGAGGAGGAGGAGGGGAGGCGGAGCAGGAGGAGGGAGGAGGAGGGAGGAGGCAGGAGGAGGAGGGGAGGAGCAGGAGGGGAGAGGGGAAGAGGGACGAGGGAGGAGGCGGAGGAGGAGGAGAAGGAGGAGGAGGAGGAGGAGGAGAGGAGGAGGAGGAGGAGGAGGAGAGGAGGAGGAGGAGGGAGGAGGAGGAGGAGGAGGAGGAGGAGGGAGGAGGGAGGAGGGAGGAGGGAGGAGGGAGGAGGGAGGAGGAAGGAGGGAGGGTGGGCGCCGACAGGAGGGTCGTCCGCGGGAACGAACAACCCTAGGCTAGGAAAGGTGGGCACGCGGGAGACAGCAGGGCGCGCCTGGCGCGAGCTTGCTGTACTTCGCGTACAGGAGGCGGCCGCCAGCGGCGGCGGCGGGCGACGGCAGCAGCCGACGCCGAAAGAACAAAACATTAGTCAGAGTCATCCGACACTCCCCCCCCCACCCGCTCCACCCGACCGCCCCACACCCCCACCATCGGCAGTGGCGGCCACCAGAGGGGAGGACAAAGGCGAGGAGGGAGAGGGGCCCTGCATACAGGAAAGGACTTCACCCGTGGACGGGTGCAGGCCTCTGGAGGCCTTGGACAGTTTCCGCAACTGCTTGTCCCTGGTTAATGGCACTTTGGAAGCACCCAGACACTTTGCCATCAGAGCACGAGGGACGCCGTGCGGAAGCAACACAAAGCCAGCACAAATAGAGCAAATCATCACACGATCATACTTCTCAATCGCGTGACCTCTCGATTCGAATTCGCAGATGGCCGCCTCTCTCTCGTTTCCCGAGGGATTTCCAGGGGGAGGAGGGGGCGGCAGCAGACCCTCAGCCACAAGGGCCTGGTCCGCTTCGACCACAGCCGCAGCCTTCACAGGCCGCGCTTGATTTCGCACACGCAACCACTCTTGCCCCTTAAGGGCCGAAAGGGCCGTGGGTCGGCAAAACTTTGAGGGGCCGTTACACAGATGCGCAAGGGTGCTGCAGGTCCAGGCCCCGACAAAGCATGAGATACATCTCACCTCACCTGAATCAGGGTCTAAGAAAAAGGAGTGACCATGCAAGCTGAGTTGCGGCGCAGGCGGGGGTCGACACACTCTCGCTGGCGGTGGCAGTGAGGTCCACCGTCGGAGTCGAGCGAGCCTGGCAGCAGCCCAGGGGATATAATCGATGGTAGCACGATGAAACTTGAGCTCGCCAGCGACCGCCTCGGCCGTAGTTCTAGCTATCATGACCTTTGTCGACGCTAGCTTGGCAAACAGGTCGGCCCAAGCGTTCCCGATCCAGGTTATCGGGTCCAGCTTTCGCTCCAGGACTTCCTCCAGAGGGAGGTGAGCAGGGGTCCAAACGAAGTGAGGGGGAGGGTCCTGGGCGGGCCTACTCTTCGCCAACTCAAAAACACTCCTCCACATGGCAGCGTATCTGTTCATTCCGCACGCCAATTCAGGGTCCCAAGACGAGCCTTCCTGAACCAGAGAAAGCAAATCCGAAACAAAAACCTCCAATCTGGGATTACGCCTCATGGCATGCAGGAGCGCAGTTCTCTCCGCTCTGTCCACGGTCTGGACAGCACCCTCCAGGGATCCATACACCGCGCGGACAGGGAGGAGCTCATCGTTGAGCTGAACAATGGCCCACCCTGCGCGCCTGACTTCAGGCACGGCGGGGTGCTGTGCGCTTCCATCCCCGAAAGTAACAGGCCCCCACTCACCCCCAACGTCACCCCACTCCCACACCACCGACGATTCAGGCGGGGATGGAAGCTGGATCGAGAGCCTCGGGAAACCATAACTAAACTATAATCTGTCAAACTCAGGATCGAGCGGGGGGCGGTGTCCAAGCGCTCGCAGAGCGTCCCGATGAGAAGCGTGTCGCTCACACAAAACCTCAACGCAAGAAGCCTCCTCGCTCTCATCGGGCTGCAGCAAGCTGGGACATTCATGCCACACATGCCCGAAGGATCCATCATCAGACTGACAGGCGGCACAGTGCACCTTCACATCTTTTCCCCATGCAGCAAGGCGGGCAGCAGTGGGGTACCGATCAGCCCACAGTGCCCTCAGCGCTCCAAGCGGTGCCTGCCTCAGGTCACGAAGCCCAAGTCGAAGAGCTCGTTCCCATACATCATGAGACGCCTCCTGCACATGCAAGTGATACACGAGCCGCTGCACCTGCCAGCGCTTGAACGATTCTTCAAGAAATACCTTCATGTCAGCTGGCGCCACTCGCAGAAGATCAAAGTCCTCACCTTGGTCACTACGCCAGTGGTGAGGTCCAATAAAGGCCCAACCAATTCTGTTGAGTGTGAGCCAGGCGGCGCCCAGTGGGCCGCGGACCGCAGCCCAGGTCAGCCCTTTGTCGTTAACACGCTCCACCAAACTCAGCCATGCATGTCGAAGCGCACTGAGAGGCACACGTGCATCCCATATAAAACAATGCAGCCGACACGAAAGCGCCGTCGTCGCATCAAAGATCGGATCGTAACGCACCTGCCACTGGCAGTACAGATAGGCCGTCGTGTGCGCTCTCGGCGGTGCCCCCACCATGGTAGCAGCGACTGACCTGGCCATAACAAGAGCAGAGTCGGTCATGCCCGAAACGCCTGCACCATGGGCCACAGCTGGTTGCGCTCCTGCCCGCCAGATCACTGAGTTCTTCCGTCCAGCAACTTGGCGAAACATATGGAGGCGATGACGTCGCTTCTGGAGATCACGAAGTCGGGCCTTCTCTTGCAACCGAATCGGGCGAATGCTGAACGTCTCGTGGCCGAGGTTACGCATCCACGGCCGATGTGCAAACTTAGAGCCTCGCAGGATCTGCCGAGACGCCGTCGTCGCGGCAGCCAGCCCCGACTTCGTATCATTAAAGCAAGAACCAAGCACTCTCGAGTCCTCCTGAAATATTCTCACAGCCAAATCAAGCGCCAGTAGGCCCTTTGGGTCAGATCCAACGTACTGAACCGAAACATCATCAACAAGAGCCCGTGGCACCACTCCAGCGTAGTTGTCACGCAGACGTAGAACGGCACGTAACGTGAGGCACCCAAGCATACATACGGCATGCGTGCATCCAGCCAGAATGCCTTGATCCACCTGCACCATGTCAGAAAAGGTGCCGTACCCTTTAAGGCTCCTCGGCTGGGCGTACATCTTGAGCAGCATGTACAGCATCCTCGGCGGATAGCCAAGCAAGCAACCCTCGCGAAACAGTTGCGACGGCCGTACCATGTCGAAAGCCTTCGTGAGATCCAGTAGGACAGTCGCGCTGAGCTGGCCCCTCAGTACAGCCACCTCCGAGTCCAGGTTGTGGCTGAAAGCGCTGTCCGACGAGGTGTAGCGGGACCTATTGCCCCACACATTGTCCGTGCGATGCTGCTGCTCCCACTGCCTGGAGATGCCGCGTCGAGCCCTGCCCCAAATGCGCTGGAAGGTGTGGACCACCGCAATCAGTCGATGTCCCTCGTCCGCCTTGGGGATGCGACACATCATCGACCATAGCCGATCTGCTGGCCATTCGAGTAGTTGCTCGCACCTTGCAAAGAAACTGCCCAACATCTCAAGCGACTCATCTGACAAGTGCCACAGCAAGCGTGGGTGTAGTGCACAGGGTCCAGTCGATGTTTTCCTGGGGAATGTCAGTATCACCTTCCTCAAAGTGTCAGCGTCCAGCTTCGGAAGACCTGGCCATTCTGCGGCCTCAGGAGGCGGCTGGACTGGTAGGCAGCCATGATGAGTCCATACGTCCACCCAAGTCCTCATGCCCCGATTCGCCAGAGCCTGTGGCTGAGCATCTGCAGGTCGTCGTTGAAATGCAACAATCTGCTCCAGCGGCCGCGCCTTGGTGACTCGGTGAGCAATAGAGGCCCCTGACCGAAAGGCAGCGCGCTGGAACTGCATCCAAGCTCGGTAGGATTCACGCTGGTCCTCTTTGCGCAGCCGAGTGGCCTCGTCCCCAACCAAGCGCAGGAGGTCCTCAAATCCAGGTGCGACCAGAACCTGCAGCCCAGAGCACAGGAAATCCTGCACAGTCTCAGGCATCTGGTGGAGCACCACTTGGCTGCGCATAATGTTACGAAGAAACCCACCAACCTCGCTGAAGGCCTGAAGTAGGACAGCGCACTGGGGCGGATCAATATCACAAAGGGCGTGGGCCATCTGAAGCCTGGTGACAAGCGTACGAAGCCTGTGGCGCTCCTTCTGAATGTGCATAAACCATCGGAGTACCACCTTCCAGGCCAGAGTCTGAGGGCGCTTGCAGGTGCGCTTGAGGGGCGGCTGCCAGGCAACCTTCCGCCACGTGAAGGAAGTCGCCCCCGCTCGGCCTGAATAGCGCAGCGCAGCAGGGCCCACGTAGTCGTATCGGTTGGCGAGCTCCCTTTCGACCCCAATCATCAGGTCATCCATACAAGCAGCAAGCCCTTCACCGTCCTCGGCCACATCGAAGCTGGTGGCCTCCCAATAGTAAGGGAACCTCGAACACCCACTAGGGGCCTGCAGTGGCAGTTCCTTGGGCAGCTTCGGCACCATCCTCCATAGCGGGTAGTCCTGTCCAAGCACCTGCAGATGCACTGGACAGTGAGGGTATAGAGTCGCCTCTTCGTCCACCCGAACATTGGAGTCTACTCGTGCTGCCAAGTTTGAAGAAACCAAAAAGTAATCAAGTAAAGTCCCAGGAATGGCCTGCCTACAAGTCGGCACCTATGGGCAGAAGGGTATAGCCGAGGCTGCCGTGGCCCAGCTGTACGAGAATAGCTCAGCAGGCTGGTTATTCCAGTCCCCACCAATGAGCCAGTCCACCCCCTCGCTGTTGAACCTCGCGATTGCCTTGACCGTCTCCCACAGGTAGGCCGTGTTGACTGGGCCCATGCCATCCTTAGTGTCAAGGTAGATGCTGCCAGCCGTGAAACCGCCAGGCACCCCCCAGTGAATATGCGCAAACAGACATCTTCCAGTGACGACTTCTTTCTCGGCCAAGATAGGGGCAGTGATCATCACGTCCGTGCGGACGAGAATCGCAACACCTGCAGTCGAGCCCGTCGCCGAAGCAGTACTCGGCGTCGCAGCAGCCCATATCCCATGCCAACCAATATCGCGGGCCTGAGACTGCGCCTGCTGGAGGCGCTCGGGCAGCAAATGGTGCTCTTGAACTAACAGCACCTTCACGTTGTCACCAACGCCTGGCATGCACTCGAAGAGGGAGCCATGCGAGCTGACATTGACCGTCACAACCTGACCCTTGAGCGAGTGCATGCTGCGCTTGGCTCTGCCGTCGGCTTGGCGTAGGGCATTCCCAGTCGAAGCCGATAAAAGATTGGGCTCCTCATGGCTCGACCCTATGCCACTCAAGGTAGGATGTGAGCATTGGGGCCCGCCAGGCCTCTGCGAGCCCCCAACCGGCACAGAGGGGCGAGCGGTGGCCTGAGCCGAGGAGGCCGACAGGCCCCCCCAAGAGACCTCCCCCCGCTCGGCGTCAGCCTGAGGCGACAAGGGGCCCAGAGCACCAGGGATAACCCGCCCAGACGCGTTCTGACGGGGCTCGTGGCGACACGGGCTGGATTCCAGCAAGGCATGTGGCCTGGATCCTGTATTAGAGATCCCAGTGCTAGTCGCACACGTCGAAGGTGTCATGATATCCACCAGCCTGGCCGCTGAACCACTCCAAGAACTGGTAGATGCAGGCGTTGGCGTGTCCTGGTAGTCCTGCACTGGGTCAAGTGGTGCAGGCATCCGAGCTGGATGGAGGTGTCCTGGACTGCTGCCCCGCGTCGTGCCACTGCCCCCGACCTCGCAGTGAGAAATAGGAGTCCAGCAAAACCCTGCGCCCCCACCCCCACACGCTGAGCCCCCCGCCTCCTGTGGAAGGGGTGCCCTGGGGAGTGGTGGACGCAGGCGCGACTGCGAACCTGAGCTGCCACAGGCAACCCAGGATTTGCGATCTAACGCCTGATGCCCTCCGTCATCGAAATGTGCAGGAACCGTAGCATCTGGCCGCGCACTAGGACCCGCACGTAGGAGTACGCTGCCACCATCTGCATCTGCAGGTCCTCCAAACGCTCTTGTATCCTGCTCGTATAACCCGAAGAAATCATCCTGGTCGAAGCCAGGGTCGGCGCCCAACTGCTGAAAGTCGTCGCCAAAATCGAAGGTATGGGAATCTGCCGCCATTGCACCGATAGTAGCCATCAAGTACACAGGCCTAAGCAGCGACCTTGTGATTCTTGGCCAGCAGCTTCTGGCACGAGTCCAGCTGGCGCTTGGCCTGGGCACGCAGCTCCGTCTCATCCGCGCTAGCATCCAGCCCAGCAGCAGCCACAAAGGTCCGAAGCTCTTCCAGGTCCATGTCCTCAGGTACAGGCATGTCAACGTGCTGGAGTCGATCAGGCTGCTCAGCTTGCTGCTGTGGGGTCTCAGGAGGTCGCTGCTGCTGCTGTGGCAGCTGCTGCTGCGCGCGAAGCCGCTCTTGCTGTTCGGTTCGCTGTCTCCGAACCTGCTCAAGCCAAGGCTCCACGAACTGGGCGCAACTGGCAGCCAGCTGCTCGCCGCCACCGAGGGACTGCACCAAGCTCTGCAGCTGCTCCAGACTGGCAGTGAAGGTGTCGAATACCGCCTGGTCGCTGCCCTCAGGAGCTCGAGTGTGTACGAAGACGCAGCAGTTCCATCTGCTCCCTCTGCATCTGCACCCTAGCTTTTTCTTTGGTATCCAACTGCTGCTTGAGGTCAGCCACCAAACTTTGCTTCTCAGCAATGGCCTGCTCCTCCGCCTCGATGGTGGCCTTGAGCTTCGCAATCTGCTGATCTGCTTTCTGAATCTTATTGCCAATGCCACGCACCTGCGCTCCCAACGGCTTAGCATCGTGGATCTCCTGCCGCAACTTCCGAAGAGACGTTTGAGCTTCCTCGTAGCCAATGACCGTCTGCGGGGCAACGCCTTTGACTTTGGCCGCCTGCTCAAGGGCGGCCACAACATGCTCCAGCGCGTCCAGCTCCTGCTGCTTGCCCTGCGCGTCATCCTTAGTGGTGGCTGCATCCGACTGCGGAGGCGATTGCTGCACATTCTCGGTCGGCCTGGTCCGAGACAACAGCTGCACCTGTTTCCGAAGGGCCGCCAACTCCTTATCCTTAGCATCCAACGCCGCCCGTGCATTGCCCCCAACAGCAGGAGCACGAACACTGGGCGTAGGAGCAGGTAGATCGCACTTGTATACTCGTCCCTTGGCCCCACAACACAGAAAGCAAGAAACAGCATCTGCATGATTGTGCCAGGGCTCACCCGTTTTCTCATGTGTACAGTGCCTGCACACCCAACGCTTGGCCCGTGCTGCCCTGTCTCTTGCCGCAGCACCCTTCGGCGGCGCCATGAAGCCCGCGATGAACGAGAGACAAGGGCCGCGATGGCCGTACCGTAGCCAGGCAGCGCGGCCGTGGCGACAAAACTGATGAGGGAGCCCAACCCCTCGGTGAAGGCGGAACACTGTCGAGCGCAAGCGCTCTGGCACTGCCGCGGTCTAGCGGTATCCGTGGAAGCCAATACGGGCCCAGCCCGCAACAGCATAAGCCTTGAGCCAAAATGGCTACGGAGGAGGAAGGAGGGAGCAGGGAGGAGGGAGGAGGGAGGAGGGAGGAGGGAGGAGGGAGGAGGGAGGAGGAGGAGGGAGGGAGGAGGGAGGAGGGAGGAGGGAGGAGGGAGGAGGGAGGAGGGAGGAGGAGGAGGAGGAGGAGGAGGAGGAGGAGGAGGAGGAGGAGGAGGAGAGGAGGAGGGAGGAGGAGGAGCAGGAGGAGGAGGAGGGAGGAGGGAGGAGGGAGGAGGCGGAGGAGGAGGATGGGGAGGAGGAGAGGAGGAGGAGGAGGGGGAGGAGGAGGAGGGAGGGGGAGGAGGGGAGGAGGGAGGAGGGAGGAGGAGGAGGAGGAGGAGGAGGAGGAGGAGGAGGAAGAGAGAGGAGGAGGAGGAGCAGGGGAGCAGGGAGCAGGAGCAGGAGGAGGAGGGAGGAGGAGGAGGAGGAGGAGGAGGAGGAGGGGAGGAGGGGGAGGGAGGGAGGAGGAGGAGGAGGGAGGAGGGAGGAGGAGGGAGGGAGAGGGAGAGGAGGAGGGAGGAGGGAGGAGGGAGGAGGGAGGAGGAGGGAGGAGGGAGGAGGGAGGGAGGAGGAGGAGGGAGGAGGAGGCGGGAGGAGGGAGGAGGAGGGGAGGAGGAGGAGGAGGAGGAGGAGGAGGAGGAGGAGGAGGGAGGAGGGAGGAGGGAGGAGGGAGGAGGGAGGAGGGAGGAGGAGGAGGAGGAGGAGGAGGAGGAGGAGGAGGAGGAGGAGGAGGAGGAGGAGGAGGAGGAGGAGGGAGGAGGAGGAGGAGGACGGGTCGCCTAAGCCCTTCGGAGAGCCCCCCCCATGAGGCGCCCCGCAGTCGACCTCCCAGGAGCTACATCCGAGGCGCTGGAGGTAAAAATCTCCGCCTCGGGCTCCCGCTCGAGCTGCCCGGGCCCGCCCGCGTCCGGGCCACGCCGCCCTGGCTGCCCCAGCCCGCGGGGCTCCTGTCGAGGACGAGAGGAGATTGCACCCCCAACTTGAAACCTTCATCGCAGAGAAAACATAGTTCGAGAGTTCGTAGATCTATACGAGCAGTCTACGTGTCGTTCGTAGATTCGACGAAGATTGCAGTCCTGGGGTGAGTCGATTCTGTAGTCGATCCCCATACTCGATCCTTGGGGCGCCCGAACTGGGTACGGAAAGAACGGGCACGATGCCCAACAACAGATGCTGTCCAAAACCGACGACAGCCTCGGTTCAGCAGGCGGCCACCTGTCTCACGTGGACAAGGCCCGCGGCGGCACCGACAGCGAGTCCTGCACGGAATGGCAAAGAACTGCTCTGAGGGAAACGTGCCCTAGACCGTGGGGCCTTCCTCCAGGACGAGTTTTTCATGCCAGACGTTTTCTGACAGCCCCATAGGCCCGTGAAGGGTCCCGAGAGCTCGAATGCTGCGGAAAACCTCGGAACCCGTTTCCCTACGGACCCGGTTCCCTGGAGGCCTCCTAAATGAGATCCGAGTAGATGGGGTCGGAGGATCGCGCCGCATCGGCGATACATCGGCGATGCGTCGGCGACATCGGCGACGCATCGGCGCCGTCGGCGCGGAGAAATTCGAGCCCCACATCGAGCCGCATCCGCGATGCATCGGCGATGCATCGGCGATGCGGCGCGATCCTCTGACCCCATCTACTCGGACCACGACTGGAGCCCGGAACTCCATCTTTCTGCGTCATTTTCCGAGCCCGACCGATCTGTAAAGGCTCCAGGGCCCGCAACTGAGCCAAAACACCCAGCTCGAAAACATTGAGTCGTCAGGACCTCGAGGCTTTTCTTCATGCTCAGACCCCGGAAGCCATGAATTCTCGTGACGTCGACCCCCAGCGGTCTCGACCCCCTCCCCATGACCAACCAGCTTTTCGGCCCGAGTGGTCTTTGGACGGTCCCGGGGCCTCCAGGAGCCGAAAATAGCGAAAAACCTCCCGTCGTGATGTTTCGGGGATGGGCAGAACCCCCTTTAGTAAAACGTGGTTTAGTGAAAACGACCTCGGGCCCAAACCTGGCGGGCGCACGCCTGGAAAATGACGGCCGCGGCGCCCTCTCGAGAACCGAAAACGGACAATTCACTAATCGACGTGTCACTGTTGGGGGCTCTGTCCATCCCCGAATGTTTTGCATGGCTCGAGGGGGTCTGGGTGGCGAGCACCGAGAGCTCCGACTCCGCGCTCTGGCCCCGCTGCCCCCGCGGCCGGCCGCGCTCCGGGCCGGGCGCCGCCGGCAGCCCCCCGGGGGCGGCCGCGCGCGCGCGGGCGCCCCCGGCGCGGCGCCGGCGGCGGGCGGCGGCCCGGGGGCCCAGGGCCGCCGGGGCGTGGAGGCGGCGCTCCACGGCGACGCCGGGCGCGGCGGCCCGACCAGCCAGTCCTCGCGAAGGGCCGTCGCCGGCCCCGAGAGCCGGGCGACTCCAGCTTTTTCGGAGCCCAGCGTCTTCGCGCTCGACTTCGGGCCACAGGGGGCTCGCTCAGATCGATCGATCCGGCTCGGGAAAAACGAGGCAGAAAGATGGGGTCGGGGGGGGTCCGGGCGTGGTGTTTCGCGGTGCTGCCATTGTTTGCCACGTCGGCTCTCGAGGACGGGGGAAGCGGGTCCTGAGGTAATGAGGCGGGTCCTGCGGCTGTCCGCGGTTGGGCCCTCCGGGGGCCCCGGGGGCTGTCAGCAGACGAGTCGGAGCGAAGAGCTCCTCCAGGGGGAAGGCCCCCGGGTCCAGGACCCGTGCCCCTCAGGACCCCCTTTGCCCCCATGCTGAGGCTTCTGCGCTGCACGGGCTTCGTGTGGTGGCGCCATCTTGGTCGCCCCCGCCTTGGTCGCCCTCGTCGTCATGGGCGCCGCCCTCGCCGACGCCGTTCTCGTCGTTCTCGTCGTCGTCCCAGTCGTCGGGGCCAGCAGGAGCCCAGCGCCCTGCTGTCGACAGATCGGCGACGCACCTCAAACAGACAGACTCCTGCCACGGCCAGCCGACACCTCAGGACGAGCAGCCTGAGACAGGCGGCTCTAAAAACCACGAGAGCCAATTGAACCGACCTTCCGCCGGGCGCCGAAGGTACTCGGCACGCACCTCCGCCGCGCCCGAGAAGCACTGCCGGGGCCGAAGCATCGCGGGTTCGTGGCGTGTCGACCCCGGTGTTGGTTTTAAGTCGGGCGTGTCCCCCTACAGGGGGATAATGCTCAAAAATAATACCCGGACTATTTTTGGACTTTGTTTTGACTTGTTGGGGGGTATTTTTAATTTTTCGTCGAAAATCCCCCTGTTGGGGGACACGCCCGACATAACGTTGGTTCCTGACACCGCGGGGATCGTTCGACCTTGAACGGTCGGCCGTGTCCGAGACGTCAGGTCGTTCAACCTCGATCGGTTCTGGGCCGCCGCCCGCGCTCCACTCGGCGGCGAGCGAGGGGGGAAGTGAGAAGGAGAAGGCCGTATCAGAAGGCGGCGGGACGTCTTAGAAGCCCTCGCGCCTTCCGAGAAGTTGTCCTCTCTGCCCTCGAGGGAGGCCCAGAAAACTCCTCCCAAGGCCGGGGGGGGGGCTTCCGAGCCGCTTCTGAGGAGGCCCGCCTCCCATCGCTTCCCCCCCAGCCGCGCCGCCGACCCTCGCAAGAAGTGGGGACACGCCAGGAGGCGACAGGCTTCTGCAGCACGCTGCAGAAGGGACGCGGCTGCGATCGGCAGCAGCCGTGGCGGCAGAGGCAGAGGAGCCCCCGTGGTCCGGCGGCGTGCCGAACGTGGAGCGGCGGCGTGAGGGGCCGCCGCCGGTCCACGCGACGCGGGCCTGCCGCGCGAGGAAGAATCGGCCTGGAACCGCCGACGCACTGCCGGGTGGTGCGCGCTCGCTCGGCCCCGGGCCCCCCCGCTGCGTAGCGATCGGCCCCCCCGCCTGCTGCAGCGGGGCAGGGTCTGGGTGCGCGCGGGCCCCGATCGGCCACGGCCGGGACGCAGAGGGACCTACCATGGTACTACGCGTCCTCGTTGGAGGCGTGCGTCCGACCCGAACGTGCAGTACAAGCACCTTGTAATAGTAGATACCGCTGCCCGACCAGTACGGCCAGAAAGCGCCCGCCACGGGGCTTATACTGTAAGATCTCTCGGCGCGCGCGCAGAGGGGGGTTTGGGGGGGCAAGGCTTCCTAGAAGGAGGCTGCTTCTTAGACGGCGCCGGCCTTATATCTATAGAGAAGGCCCGCGCTTTCTGAGAAGCAGGGGTGCTACTAAGAAGGCTTCCCCCCTCCCCCCAGCCCGCTCTGCGCATGGCCGAATGTCGAGGTAACGCCGAAAGAACGGGGGGCGACCGAGAATGACCCTCCACGACGAAGAGCAGCAATTCAGTTTTTCCTCGCAAAACATCACTGATAACCCTACCGTATCACGGTTCAAAGGCGCGCCAGGCAAGCCAAGAACACCGCACAAGCCGACCATCAACTCTCGCTTGAATGACTGGCCTGTGGATGGATAGTTGCAGAGTAATCTGAAGAGAAATATAACAATGAAGTTGGAATTGCAGCAATGTCGATATACCCTGTATTTGCTAGCCCTCCTTCTCACTTATCCGATTCCCTCCCTCTCCTCCCCCTCTCCTATCATCCTATGCACCACAATCGAATACTGACGCACGCATAACAGACGCTACCAAAGTGCACTGAACAGCTCTGTTGGAACCGAAACACAGATGACAGCTATCAAATAGCTGCAACAACTATTGTTCCAGCCGCAATGCCTGACAGCCCAGAAACAGCCGGACAGGGCCTCAGGAGACGCCATGCTTTTATTCATGAGGTCTCGACACCTTCCCTGGGAACGGCTTCTCACCCCCAGCCGCTTCTTGACGGCCCTGGGGCCCGGCGAGGGCCCCCAGAGGCCGAAAATGGCGGGACCCTGGTGGCTCTTGGGCCACACCTCGGCTCTCTGGTGGCTATTCGGAGCAATGCGGGCACCCCAGGAACGCCCTCAGCGAGGCGCAGCTGCTGGAGCGCGTCCCAAAAATCAGAAGTGTTCAAGAATCCCTTGCAAAAAACGAAACGAAGTGCACACGCGCGCGTCGTCGTGCGCGCATGCCGCAATGTCAAAACCGAGCCTCCGAGGCCAGAATCGAGGTGTCCGAGGCCAGAGCGCCGCTGAGAACCGACGACGACGCCCGAACACCTCCAACCCTCACACCCACACTTTGGACGCCCGAAATGGGTACAGAAAGAATGGGTACAACGCCCAACAACAAATGTTGTCCCAAACCAACAGCGGCCGCTATTGGGCAAGCGGCCTTCTGCCTCGAATGGGCACAGGCCGCGGCGGCGCGGACAGCGAGCCCTGTTCAAAAGGAACCAGACCCGCTGTTGGGCATTGTACCCACTCTTTCCGTGCCCGTTTCGTTCCCCTCGAGGGGGGGGGGAAGGAAAAGGAAGAGGGGGAGAGGGAGGACGAGGGGGAAGAGGAGGGGGAGGAGGAGGAGGGGGAGGAGGAGGAGGGGAAAGATGATAGAGGAGGAGAGGTAGGAGGAGGGGGCCTGCCTCGAGGGGCGCCCGGCCCCCGCCCCGCCCGGCTCCTCGGACCACTCCGAGCCCTCCGCGCCGGCCGCCTCCCCGCCGCCGGGCCCGCGGACCTCGCGCGAGAGGCGCCCGCCGGCGCCCCCCGCGCCCGGCGCGGCGCCCGCCTCGGCAGCCGCCGCCCGGCCTCCGCCACGAGGGGCAGCGCGAGGGGGGGCCCCAGGCTTACGTCGGGTCCGTCCCCCTACAGGGCGATTTTCGACGAAACATAAAGAATACCCCGCAACTAATCCAAAAGCAGTCCCAAAATAGTCTGGGAACTATGTTGGGATGATTTGTTTCACCTCCTTGGGGTATGTTTGCCTTTTTATTTTTCGTCGACAATCCCCCTGTAAGGGGGACACGCCCGACATGACCCCAGACCCCCCTCGCGCTGCGAACAAAGTCGCGGCGGGAGGTGCGCCCAGACAGCCAGC